AAATATAAATATAAATATAAATATAAATAAATAATGGAAATGTTATTTGAATCTATCGTGTTTGGGTATATGTAGATACATACGGTAAGAATGTAGTTTAGATTTTTCATTGGAACGAGTGAATTTAGAAATTAACAAAATTACAAACAACAAACAAATTACAAAATTATTAACAAAAATTTAGAAATTCACTCGTATACGTAACCTGTATTAAGGTGTGCTGTCTTTTTACAGTGGTATCGGTATGACTAAGGCTGACATGGTAAACAATCTTGGAACCATCGCTAAATCTGGCACAAAGGCATTTATGGAGGCTCTGCAGGCCGGCGCTGACATTTCAATGATTGGTCAATTTGGTGTAGGTTTCTATTCGGCTTACCTTGTTGCCGATGTTGTAACGGTCATCTCCAAGCATAACGATGACGAGCAATACATTTGGGAATCTTCGGCTGGTGGCTCTTTCACCATTTCCCATGACAAAGGAGAACCGCTCGGCAGAGGAACTAAGATTATCTTGCACATGAAGGAAGATCAAGCCGAATACTTACAAGAATCGAGAATTAAGGACATAGTGAAGAAGCACTCCCAGTTCATTGGCTATCCCATCAAATTGGTTGTAGAGAAGGAGAGAGACAAGGAGCTCAGCGAAGATGAGGATGACGAGGAAAAGAAAGACGACGAGGAGAAGGACGAGGACAAGGACGAGGACAAGCCTAAAATCGAGGATGTGGGTGCCGATGAAGAGAGCGAGGACAAGCCAAAGCCGGAAAAGAAGAAGAAGAAGACTATCAAGGAGAAATACACGGATGAGGAGGAATTGAACAAAATGAAACCCATTTGGACGAGGAATCCTGAAGAGATCACGGAAGAGGAGTACGGTGAATTTTACAAAAGCTTAACAAACGATTGGGAAGTTCACCTTGCTGTAAAGCACTTTTCGGTCGAAGGTCAACTTGAATTCAGAACGCTTTTGTTCATTCCCCGTCGCGCACCCTTCGATCTCTTCGAAAGCAAGAAAAAGAAGAACAACATCAAATTGTATGTCAGAAGAGTATTCATTATGGACAACTGCGACGAGCTTATTCCTGAATATTTGAACTTCATCAGAGGAGTGGTAGACAGCGAGGATCTGCCATTGAACATTTCTCGTGAGATGTTGCAGCAAAACAAAATTCTCAAAGTTATTAGGAAGAATCTAGTCAAGAAGTGCTTGGAGCTTTTCGAAGAATTAGCCGAAGACAAAGAGAACTACAAGAAATGCTACGAACAGTTTAGCAAAAATCTGAAATTGGGTATTCACGAAGACAGCCAGAATAGGAAAAAGCTTTCTGAACTACTGAGATACCATACTTCGGCATCCGGTGACGAAATGTGTTCGCTGAAGGATTACGTTGAACGCATGAAGGAAAATCAAAAGCATATCTATTACATCACTGGTGAAAGCAAAGAGCAAGTAGCCAACAGTTCATTCGTTGAGAGCGTAAAGAAGCGAGGATTCGAAGTTATCTACATGATCGATCCAATCGATGAGTACGTTGTTCAGCAGCTGCGAGAATTTGATAACAAAACCTTGGTTTCGGTAACGAAGGAGGGACTCGAGCTGCCCGAAGATGAAGCCGAGCAAAAGAAAAGGGAAGAGGACAAGGCTAAGTTTGAGAATCTCTGCAAAGTCATGAAGGACATCCTAGATAAGAAAGTAGAGAAGGTAGTGGTCTCCAACAGGTTGGTCGACTCACCGTGCTGTATAGTCACTTCCCAATATGGTTGGACTGCGAACATGGAAAGAATCATGAAGGCCCAGGCTCTACGCGACACGTCAACAATGGGTTACATGGCTGCCAAGAAACATCTCGAGATCAATTCGGACCATCCGATTATGGAGAATCTTCGACAGAAGGCGGAGGCTGACAAGCATGACAAATCTGTCAAGGACTTGGTGATGCTGCTGTTCGAGACGGCATTGCTCTCGTCGGGCTTTGCCCTCGAGGACCCGCAAGTGCACGCATCCAGAATATACAGAATGATCAAGTTAGGTCTTGGATTCGACGACGATGAAGTGATCGTCGAGGAAGAGAAAGTAGATAGTAAAGAGTTCCCAATGGAGGATGATGTCGAAGAAGCTTCAAGGATGGAGGAAGTCGATTAATACTTGACTGGAATGAAAATATTTAAGATCCAAAGACTTTTAATTAGAAATTTAGAAAGACTGTTCTTAAATTACAAGAGTATTAAGTTTTTAACGTGACACGGTCGGATGACGAGTGTGTTCATAGAAATCTAGTATGAATGAATGAAACTATTTATTTTATATAAATACCGTGTTTACAATCATTTTTTACACGACTCGTCATCCAATTGTGCGCCCATACAGCCACTACTTACTATATGTTGTAAGAACATCGTAAATCTTTACCACCATTTTTTCTTTTCTTCCTTTTTTTTTTTTTTTTTTTTTTTTTTTTTTTTTTATATATATATATAACAATAATAATAATAATGATAATTTCTGGTAAAACAATTTTTTGTACTCGTGTTATAGCAACAATTCTCTCCTCATTTTACATTATCATTCCGTGGATAACTTAATAAAACGAATAGCATAAGAGATTTGATCAAAAAATTAATTCGATTTCTCACTCGTAGCTTATACAATTTAAGTTATATTAAATAATTATGTAATAATTTATAATAGATAGATATATGTGTATAATGTATGTCATTTGAAAAATGATATAGTTTAAAAATTCATTCCAAATTTATAAACGAAACAAAGACAAAAGAAAAAAAAAAAAAAAAAAGCAGCCATTTACTTACACATACTCCGCTCATCATTACTTTATCATACTGTATAATATAGCTTGACTAACGTAATAAAAGTATAATTAAATAAACTGACCAATTCGATTTTATTTGACATTGAAATTGCCGAATTTATGAATCAATTATTACAGATCCAGACGATCAACAAAGAGTTCGCTAAGCGAATAAATATCCTTTTAATGCGTTCGAATCTGATGATAACTGGAATAATAAAAAAATGCATTTCATGTAGAAGATAAAATTGAAAAAATAATATTTCACATAATTAAGTTTGGACAATAATAGAAATTTTTGATCAAATCTCGTGTGTAAGAGACTACATCAAATTAAAAATAAGATAATGCTTTAAGTTAACGATTCGTACACAATAAAATTGAAGTTGCGAATAATTTACATATGTCTCGTATTTTTTATTTATTACATCCTTCCTACAATTAATAATAGTCTTATGATATCTATAAAATAATACACTTATAGATGAATAATTTTAGCCAGTAGATCGCTTAAAAAACGATAAGATTTTGTAACAAAAAATTTTTCGTATACTTGGTAAGATATATATATATATATATATATATATATATATCTATACTTACATATACATATACAAATACTTACATATTTCTTATACTTGTACGAGAAATTAGAATTTTCTAAAGAAATGATTCGATTGATAGGCTTATATGCTTTAAAAAAAAAAAAAAAAATTTTTTTTCTTTTACTGTATATATATATATATATATATCATGTGTGTTTGAATACGAAGGAAATTGCTTATTGTACGGTGCTGTCACCCAATGGTAATAGTAGATATTCTTGTTAGTAATATATTTTCGTAATAGATGGCGCTGGGAGTGCCTTATGAAATTTACATATGCTTATGGGAATAAAGTAAAAAGTGTCCTTAGGTATTTGAGCTTTTATTGGTGGGATAATAAAAGGATGACTATTGGGACTAATTTATTTCGTGGATCTTTAATTTATAATAAATGCAAATATTTATTAAAATAATATTGTTAACAATTTAACAATCAAAATTAAGGAGAAATATATTTGTACTCCATTACATATGCTTGTGATTGATATTCTAATAATGTTATTTTAATGTTATTTTAGTGGACAAATGCTTACTCGTCATATCGTCGAAACGTGTTTGCGGATGTAATTTTATTATTTATATAATCATCTTCGTGAAAATCTACGAGATTTTAATGGAAATGTTTAATGTCGCTGAAAATTCTGGATGATCGATCGAAACGAAGCATCGAGTAATTTTATCGTTACTATTGTAATTTTGTTATTTTAACCGTTTAAAGTAAGATATGGCGGTGCGCAACGTGTTTTATTGACATTGTGCCGTACACAATATGTCATAATAAAAATACTTACAATAAAAGTAGCGCAAAATAAAGACATACGCACATATAATCTGTAGAGAAAGAATGACACACTATATACGAGGCAATATAAAATATTCGTTTATACTATTAAAAAATTATTGTTTAGATAAAATGCATTTAATTGAAGTTAATTTTTAATATGACGCTGTTTATTCGGAACGCAATTATTAATACTGATAAATTATACCAACAGACATCGCCTATGCTTGCTTGCTTCGTTTTATCCCTCATCCTCTCATTCCTTTTGTATTATTAATAATATTAGAAATATATTAGCCGACGTATTACCAGAAAAATACATAATAATCTTTATTTCTTTCAGCTGTAATTATTATTGAGCTTGCACAATCAGCTGCTTATTTGAGAAAAAAAAAATATGTCTAAAGTTGAAAAGAATATTAAATAAACTGCAGGCCCGATCGATGATTTACAGGCACAAGTTCTTTGTTACTTTTCGTCGAAATTTTCTTTGACATGTTTATGAATGATTTTTTTGTACATACTTGCAAGTTGATATCGTCCATAAGGGAAAGACTCGTCGTGGCTTATAGTTTTTAACATTCGAGCAACATGAACAATGCAACTATTCATAAAACGTTTAATGTTGCGCGTGTTTGGCGAGATTAGTCTTTCACCACTGGTGAAACAATGATTTGGAAATGAATTTTCAAAATGTATTCTAATGCCAATGTATTGTAAATACAGTTTAGAAACTAAAAAATCTTGGAGTAAATATTGATTTGGTCGCGTTAAACTACGTTTGAATTTCTCTTGCATGCTCCTTCGCCCACCCACCCTCCCCGCCCGTGTCATCTCATGCATACATGTGTCTGTGTGTCTGTCGGACCGTGCGTTTGTGTGAAAATCCGAGTAAAATAGGTTACAAAAAGGATACGAGGAAAGCGAAGAGAAAACCAGGTCATGATTGTAAATAGTACAAATTGACGAACTTGGTAGGATCGCTAGGTAAACAATTTTTTTGTAAACATTATGCATAGTTATTGTAATTTAGAGCTTTTGTTTACACTGCGGTTATAAATAGATAATTGTTCTATCGTTTATCATTATCCAAATTATTGGATGTAATATTATTATTCATTACGAATAACTTGAAATGCACATTATAAACTAATATGGTAGACAATCATAAAGCTTATTATCAGCAAAGTAGCTAAATCTCGGATGATATAATTTTAGTATTAATAATTCGGAATGTTAGTTTGGAAGCACGAATGAATCACCTCTATAATAAAAATAAAAAATAAAAAAAATAAATAAATAAAAATAAACAAAAAACATGAGAAGAAGTGCATAGAAATAAAAAAGAACAATATCTCTAGTAGCGTCAGGGGAGTTTTTATTGGATGATTATGGCAAAAAATTTGCTCTCTCTCTCTCTCTCTCTCTCTCTATCTATCTTCAGATTCATCCGTCAGAAAAACTTTGTAAAGTCATAAGATACGATAAGAATTTTATCAAGTAAAAAAAAGAAAAGAAAAAAAGACACAATGAAGTAAAAGTGACTTAACATAATATGCAGCCATTAATTTTTATTTCAAACAACTTTGCTCATCTACCTGTGCAACGGATTGCAACAAATTGCACCTTGCAATTAATTATTGACTGCCTTGTAACGGGATCGTAGTGGCTTGTTGCTGTTGCTACTCAAACATCATCAGGACATATTTGACGATATTCAATAATAATAATAAGCGACAAAATGTAAATTTTAGTTAAAATCTTAATTCCCATACACTGCCAGCCGCATACTATACTGCCTATATTATACTACCCATCCCCTCGTCAATTGCCATAATCGCGAAGACATGGCGGAGACGCGAGATAGATAGATAGAGATAGATAGATATATATATAGATAGATAAATAGATAGATAGATAGAGATAGATAGATATATAGATAGATACTTGAATAGATAGATAGATAGAGATAGATAGATATATAGATAGATACTTGAATAGATAGATAGATAGAGATAGATAGATATATAGATAGATACTTGAATAGATAGATAGATAGAGATAGATAGATATATAGATAGATACTTGAATAGATAGATAGATAGAGATAGATAGATATATAGATAGATACTTGAATAGATAGATAGATAGAGATAGATAGATATATAGATAGATACAATCGAATGCGCATAAACCACGAATCGGTGGAGGTGCAGCGGTAGAATAATTGTCACGATCTAAGGTCGTTTCACGGCTTGGTTACGATGCGTACGCCGTTACTCTTTACTCGGCGCTGCGTTATCGTAAAATTTTCCACTATAGTACTCGGAGCGGCCGTTATGTGCCTTTTCTTCCTACGGGCCGAGACGGTAAAAGTGAGACTCTGGACGCACGCGACCCTGAAAACCGAAAGTATAAGCGCTTATGGCTATTTTGCAACGATGGATGGGTGATTGCGATTCCACAGCTGCGAGTCATTTCATTTCGGCATCGTCGTCAGGGAACTGCGCCCCTACGACATTTATACGTCGCTCAACCTGAAGAAGGCAAAGAGATAAAGGAGAGGGGCCTTTTTAGTTTGGACGCCAATCGACCATTATATTATATTATATTATATTCCGAGCGAGCGCTTACTCCAAACCACTACAAACACTTTTTTTCACGCGCTTCCGGGTGAATAAAAGAAAAAGAAAAGAAAAGGCACGCGTACTACTGTCCTCCTTACCTACTACGAACAATTTTTATTGCGAAAACGAAAAAAAAAAAAAAAAAAAAATGCATCTTTTTGTGTCAAGCAATAAAGTCGAACAAAACTTCCTTTCATTTCTTTAAAAAATATGCTCGTTATTCTCCATTAATTGTTGCAACACTCTAACGAGACGTATATTTTAACGCAGTGGTGCATAATATGCAACGCTGTTGCTCGAAACTGTTTACATTGTATTATAAAACTAATTTTACTTTGGCCACTACTACGGCTCCAAACTCTTACTTTCCCAATCGACTTGTCGTAGCTTTTACTGCCGACCACGAGCCAATAA